AATTATTTTCATTCGGCATTAAACATAGACATATTTTTTTCCCATATTCGTCCATCTCCTTTTCAGTTATGGAACAGGCAAAGATCCTTAGACCGCCTAGTCTACGTTTATACTTCTTCATATTTGAACAAGTAATGAGGCCAAAGGCCAATTCTTATAGAGCAAGAGCCCACGACTGCCAGACATACGTCATTTTAATAAACGTGAAAGTTCTTGTATGTGTGTCCCCAACACAGGTAAGAACGATCCCCAAATATGAAACCTGGATCGTGGTTCCTTTGGCAGGTACCAGGTAACAAAGGTGTAAAAAAAATCATACCAAATTCGTTATTTTAAGAAACTCCATATTTTCATATATTGTTCGTAGCACTATTATAACTTGCGCTGCTCATTGCCAGACACGTAGTGTGGTTCCAACCCCCCGCCGGACCCCTAAACTATACTATTTTAGAAATAAACTTACGTCATTTTAATAAAGCTGAAATTTATATATATTATTGAGAGTTCTCTCAAACTGAGTTTCCTAAATTGCCAGACAGTTTTCTTGGTTCCTTATCATACCAGACTCATTGAAACCGTATATTGGGTAACAACGGTGTATACAATTTCATATCAAATTCGTTATTTTAAGATGCTCCATTTTTTCACATATTGCTCGTAACAGTATTATAACTTGCTCTGCTCATTGATTGAGACCCTTAGTGTGGTTCCAACCCCCGCCGGACCCCCCTAAACTATACTATTTTATAAATAAACTTACGTCATTTTAATAAAGCTGAAATTTATATATATTATTGAGAGTTCTCTCAAACTGAGTTTCCTAAATTGCCAGACAGTTTTCTTGGTTCCTTATAATACCAGACTCATTGAAACCGTATATTGGGTAACAACGGTGTATACAATTTCATATCAAATTCGTTATTTTAAGATGCTCCATTTTTTCACATATTGCTCGTAACAGTATTATAACTTGCTCTGCTCATTGCCAGACCCTTAGTGTGGTTCCAACCCCCCGCCGGACCCCCCTAAACTATACTATTTTGTAAATAAACTTACGTCATTATAATAAAGCTGAAATTTATATATATTATTGAGAGTTCTCTCAAACTGAGTTTCCTAAATTGCCAGACAGTTTTCTTGGTTCCTTATTCCACCAGAATCATTGAAACCGTATATTGGATAACAACGGTGTATACAATTTCATGTCAAATTCATTATTTTAAGATGCTCCATTTTTTCACATATTGTTCGTAGCATTATTATAACTTGCGCTGCTCATTGCCAGACACGTAGTGTGGTTCCAACCCCCGCCGGACCCCCCTAAACTATACTATTTTAGAAATAAACTTACGTCATTTTAATAAAGCTGAAATTTATATATATTATTGAGAGTTCTCTCAAACTGAGTTTCCTAAATTGCCAGACAGTTTTCTTGGTTCCTTATCATACCAGACTCATTGAAACCGTATATTGGGTAACAACGGTGTATACAATTTCATATCAAATTCGTTATTTTAAGATGCTCCATTTTTTCACATATTGCTCGTAACAGTATTATAACTTGCTCTGCTCATTGCCAGACCCTTAGTGTGGTTCCAACCCCCCGCCGGACCCCCTAAACTATACTATTTTATAAATAAACTTACGTCATTTTAATAAAGCTGAACTTTATATATATTATTGAGAGAACTACTAAACTGAGTTTCCTAAATTGCCAGACAGTTTTCTTGGTTCCTTATCCTACCAAACTCATTGAAACCGTATATTGGGTAACAACGGTGTATACAATTTCATATCAAATTCGTTATTTCAAGATGCTCCATTTTTTCACATATTGCTCGTAACAGTATTATAACTTGCTCTGCTCGTTGCCAGACCCTTAGTGTGGTTCCAACCCCCCGCCGGACTCCCCCAAACTATACTATTTTATAAATAAATTTACGTTATTTTAATAAAGCTGTAATTTATATATATTATTGAGAGTTCTCTCAAACTGAGTTTCCTAAATTGCCAGACAGTTTTCTTGGTTCATTATCCTACCAGACTCATTGAAACCGTATATTGGGTAACAACGGTGTATACAATTTCATATCAAATTCGTTATTTTAAGATGCTCCATTTTTTCACATATTGCTCGTAACAGTATTATAACTTGCTCTGATCGTTGTCGAACCAAGAAAACTGTCTGGCAATTTAGGAAACTCAGTTTAATAGTTCTCTCAATAACATATATAAAGTTCAGCTTTATTAAAATAACGTAAATTTATTTATAAAATAGTATAGTTTGGGGGGGTCCGGCGGGGGGTTGGAACCACACTAAGGGTCTAGTTATAATACTGTTACGAGCAATATGTGAAAAAATGGAGCATCTTAAAATAATGAATTTGACATGAAATTGTATACACCGTTGTTATCCAATATACGGTTTCAATGATTCTGGTGGAATAAGGAACCAAGAAAACTGTCTGGCAATTTAGGAAACTCAGTTTGAGAGAACTCTCAATAATATATATAAATTTCAGCTTTATTAAAATGACGTAAGTTTATTTACAAAATAGTATAGTTTAGGGGGGTCCGGCGGGGGGTTGGAACCACACTAAGGGTCTGGCAATGAGCAGGGCAAGTTATAATACTGTTACGAGCAATATGTGAAAAAATGGAGCATCTTAAAATAACGAATTTGATATGAAATTGTATACACCGTTGTTACCCAATATACGGTTTCAATGAGTTTGGTAGGATAAGGAACCAAGAAAACTGTCTGGCAATTTAGGAAACTCAGTTTAATAGTTCTCTCAATAATATATATAAAGTTCAGCTTTATTAAAATGACGTAAGTTTATTTCTAAAATAGTATAGTTTAGGGGGTCCGGCGGGGGTTGGAACCACACTACGTATCTGGCAATGAGCAGCGCAAGTTATAATAATGCTACGAACAATATGTGAAAAAATGGAGCATCTTAAAATAATGAATTTGACATGAAATTGTATACACCGTTGTTATCCAATATACGGTTTCAATGATTCTGGTGGAATAAGGAACCAAGAAAACTGTCTGGCAATTTAGGAAACTCAGTTTGAGAGAACTCTCAATAATATATATAAATTTCAGCTTTATTAAATGACGTAAGTTTATTTCTAAAATAGTATAGTTTAGGGGGGTCCGGCGGGGGGTTGGAACCACACTAAGGGTCTGGCAATGAGCAGAGCAAGTTATAATACTGTTACGAGCAATATGTGAAAAAATGGAGCATCTTAAAATAACGAATTTGATATGAAATTGTATACACCGTTGTTACCCAATATACGGTTTCAATGAGTCTGGTATGATAAGGAACCAAGAAAACTGTCTGGCAATTTAGGAAACTCAGTTTAATAGTTCTCTCAATAATATATATAAGGTTCAGCTTTATTAAAATGACGTAAGTTTATTTATAAAATAGTATAGTTTAGGGGGGTCCGGCGGGCGGTTGGAACCACACTAAGGGTCTGGCAATGAGCAGAGCAAGTTATAATACTGTTACGAGCAATATGTGATAAAATGGAGCATCTTAAAATAACGAATTTGATATGAAATTGTATACACCGTTGTTACCCAATATACGGTTTCAATGAGTCTGGTAGGATAAGTAACCAAGAAAACTGTCTGGCAATTTAGGAAACTCAGTTTGAGAGAACTCTCAATAATATATATAAATTACAGCTTTATTAAAATAACGTAAATTTATTTATAAAATAGTATAGTTTGGGGGGGTCCGGCGGGGGGTTGGAACCACACTAAGGGTCTGGCAAAGAGCAGAGCAAGTTATAATACTGTTACGAGCAATATGTGAAAAAATGGAGCATCTTAAAATAATGAATTTGATATGAAATTGTATACACCGTTGTTACCCAATATACGGTTTCAATGAGTCTGGTATTATAAGGAACCAAGAAAACTGTCTGGCAATTTAGGAAACTCAGTTTGAGAGAACTCTCAATAATATATATAAATTTCAGCTTTATTAAAATGACGTAAGTTTATTTATAAAATAGTATAGTTTAGGGGGGTCCGGCGGGGGGTTGGAACCACACTAAGGGTCTGGCAATGAGCAGAGCAAGTTATAATACTGTTACGAGCAATATGTGAAAAAATGGAGCATCTTAAAATAACGAATTTGATATGAAATTGTATACACCGTTGTTACCCAATATACGGTTTCAATGAGTCTGGTATGATAAGGAACCAAGAAAACTGTCTGGCAATTTAGGAAACTCAGTTTGAGAGAACTCTCAATAATATATATAAATTTCAGCTTTATTAAAATGACGTAAGTTTATTTCTAAAATAGTATAGTTTAGGGGGGTCCGGCGGGGGGTTGGAACCACACTACGTGTCTGGCAATGAGCAGCGCAAGTTATAATAGTGCTACGAACAATATATGAAAATATGGAGTTTCTTAAAATAACGAATTTGGTATGATTTTTTTTACACCTTTGTTACCTGGTACCTGCCAAAGGAACCACGATCCAGGTTTCATATTTGGGGATCGTTCTTACCTGTGTTGGGGACACACATACAAGAACTTTCACGTTTATTAAAATGACGTATGTCTGGCAGTCGTGGGCTCTTGGGCTATTATGTATTAAACATAGATAAAGAATAAATAGCATCTACATTCTTTGTCTATGATATAAATAAATAAACATAGACAAATCTAATTATAATCTGTGTCACTAAGAATTCTGCGAAGTCAATTGTTGATTGTTGTTGTCATCAATGTCGTACAAAAAACAGTTTTAAATAGTGTATATCGTATCACAGGCATATCTATTTATTTTGTAAGTAACTACTTATCCATTAGAACATTTTGCACTAATTTATTATAACTTTAATTTTTAGGAAGTAATAGTCTAAATTAGATGAAAATATTAACAGCTGATACCACAGATTAGAAATAATCTCTGACATTTGTAAATGTTGCCAGAAATAAATATATACAAATCTACCATTATAGTAGTATATTTTGTTGCAGTGGCAACAGTAAGAAGTGAAGAAGAAGCAATGAAAAATCTAACCACAGTTAGCTGGGCTCATGCCGTTAATAATAAAACATATTTGGAAGCAGCTTTAGCAAGTAAGTTATGAATACTATCGAAGTCTCTTTTGCACTATATACAGCCAATAGTGTGGTACAATGAATTAAAACTTATTTTGTGATCAATCAAATGTCATAATTTTATAAAAAAATGTAAAATATATTAGTTTACAGTAAAAAATTAAAAAAAAATGTATATTTATAACAATAGAAATATAAAATTACAGTTCTATCATTTCACGTATCATATCCTCTCTGATTGATCCTTCGTTCAATTCAAACGGGGATCGAAATTGGGACGGCCTGACCTGAGGTTCGAATGACAGCCACGCGCTGAAACTAAAGTCGGACTCGGCAGTTATGACACACTACATTTCAGCCGCTAAAGTAGTAGTTGACGGTCCACTAACAAAACATTTTTAGACATTATTTCGTTTTATAAATCACTAACTGAGCCCGCAGTTCACCCGCGTGAAATTTATAGCCTACGGCTTATTTATAACCTACATTATTGTAAAGTTTCATCAAAATCCGTCCGTCCTCACTCACAAACTTTCACGTTTATAAGATTTTATTATAATTCTTTAAAAAAAATTGAAGAGCGTTACTATTATTATGTTATCTGTGGCGTTACCAATAATAAAAAAAAATGTAGTCATTATTTTCTACCGTTAGTAGGATAATTTTATATTCGAGAATGATAACACTGACAATGATTTGTCTTTTACCTTAACAGCGCCATCTCTTGTATACTTACCATAACACTTAGACTGCTCGAATTAATCTGCTTTTGGTAGGCCGAGAGAGGCATATATTTATCTTATTCTTATATCTTATCTTATATATATCACTTTGTACAAAGTCGGCTGCATGGGAGTCCCACTGACTCACCTATTTCAGTTGCCAAGTTTTTTATTTCGGACTTCTCTAATGCCGCAGCTGGCCTTTAGAACTTCACTGGACGATAGGGGGCGAGTACAGATGGCACTCCAAACCTTACTTACTAAGGAAGGACTTACGAAGCGGCTGAAGGCCAACTCCCGCCTGACGGATACGACTTTAGTCTAAGGGTCCTAACCTCGGCTCAGGCCGTCGTAATTTCGAAATTAAAAAAAAAATATATACGATGTTACATAGATATATTACGAAGAAATTATTATTAAAATTATCTTTTCAGGCGAAGTGTCAATGCTAGAAGCTGATATAGTTTTAGGCCACATCAATGGTAAAGATGGACCTCCCATACCTATCATGGCCCATCCACCAGCCGCGACCTCCGACCTGTCCCTCTCAGAATTCCTCTCCTCAGTGGCGCAGTACAACAACGTGAACTCCAAACAAAAGGGTGTCAAGCTTGACTTCAAGTCCATAGAGGCATTTGAGAAGTCTCAAGATCTGATATTGCCGTACAGTAAACCGGAGGTTTGTTTTTCATCAGCTATTTTTTTTTATTGATCACTAGCAGTTCCCGCTACTTCGTCCTCGTGGAATTAAACTTTATTTTTTCAAAATAAAAGTAGCCTAAGTTACTCCTTATTATATCAGCTACCTGCCAAAAATAGGCCCTTCAAAATCGGTCCAGCCATTTCAGAGATTAGCCGGAACAGACAGACAAAAATTGTAAAAAATGTTCTTTCGGTGTATGTACCGTATTTATATTCATATGCATGTAGTAAAAAACGGTTATTTCAATATTACAAACAGACACTCTAATTTTAATTATATGTATAGAGTATTGTATATTTATTTTATATATTACTACTATTACTATTTATGTTTGTTCATTCCATCACACAGAAGGGGGTGGACCACCCCCCTTTATAGGCTCTCTAATGTCTGGAATCCAGTGATTGGTTTAATTAAACAAAAACAAAAAACGCGATCGAAAAGTGTATTAAATGTACGTAAAGATACTGTGAGTACAGTTTGCTGAGATTAATATCGAGCGAGTTCCAGTAGTAGCAACAAACGAAGACGTGTGAAGGTAGACGCATATGTCTGCCCATAAAAAGATTTCATTTTCCATCTACCCGCTGCTCTTCAGTTTACCCGTGATCATGGTGGTTGAAACACTGCCGAAATATCGGGAACTCAGCAAATAAATATAAAACGTGGTAAGATCCCGTGATTTTTACTAATTATACGTACACATAAAATTTACGAGGTAAAGCACGCAATTGCAACATTTTAATTTTTACCTATTTGTCGCTGGAATAAGGTAGTATCTATGATACAGGCTCGGCCTAGTATAGATGCTACTGGTAAATTATATGTATGATGCGTATTTAACAAAAACGTAATAGTTTATAAGGAGAATAACTGTAACTACTTAAATTGGTGTCAATAAAATATATTATTATTATTATATTATAATGAGTAGATTTTTTAAACGAATAAGAATAAAACAAAGTGATATCTCTATAAAAAAAAATGATGACTATTTTTAATAATCATAGCGGTCCTTTTGAACCCAATAACTCATACCAATAAGCTGTTTCAATATTAATTACCCTGTGCGCATATGGTTAATTAATCCCAACATTACACCGAATAGGCCCGCCACCTCATATAAATAACGAATCGATCAACTATCAACCTTATTATAAAACCCATAAAGTATATTATACATAAATGTAGTCTCTTCCTGATTTCAAGTTCAAGGAATTGTGAACTTTACCGTTTTAATTATAAGGGTGATGAGTTTTAATTGAGCGGGGAGATGACTAAATTAAAATATGACATAGCGTGTGAATAATGGATTCGTAGTATCTACTTGTGTGGTCGTGTCATCTGCCTTACTATGTTGAGGAAGATGTGGTCCCGTTCCCGAGACAAGTATAAAAAAACAACCCTAAACTACAAAAATACCCTATTCATACTCAATGCGTTATGGCATGCCGTGTGTGACAGAAATGCAAATTACTAAAATATAAGTAATTTGCGAAGATTTTTATATACTAATAGTTGTACACGCGACTTCGTCCGCGTGGAATTTAACTTTATTTCTCTAAAATAAAAGTAGCCTAAGTTACTCCTTATTACATCAGCTACCTGCCAATAAAAGTCCCGTCAAAATCGGAATCGGAAAAGGGATTAGCCGGAACAAACAGACCGACAGACAGACAGACAAAAATTGTAAAAAATGTAATTTTGGTGTATATACCGTATTTATATTCATAAGCATGTAGTAAAAAACACTTATTTTAATATTACAAACAGACACTCCAATTTTATTCAATCACACAACGCCATCTAGTCCCAAGCTAAACAGAGCTTATGTTATGAGTACTAGACAACTGATATAAATACTTAGATTTTTGTAAATACATACATAATATACATAGAAAACACCCAGACTGATTAAAACAATCATACTCCTGAATACAAATGTTTGTGGCGTGCGAGGAATCGAACCCGCGACCATCGGAAGTAAGGCGGAACTAAACCGCTAGACCACCGAGGCCGTCATGATGTTGCAATCAAAGTTTAATTGGTATAAATTGAGACAATCGATTACACTGGTCGTATATTAAACGAAAGTGACATGTGACATGGCGTTTCACGGTCAAAACAACAAATTGATATCCAGACGGTGTTTTAATGCTGTATTCCCCCAACTCCTCTCCACACAAAACTCGCTGATATGTAAATTTTCTACAATAACGAAAAACTCTATATATTTTTTTCCATAGGATTAATAATAATAATAATAATCTCAGGACAATTCACACAGCGCCATCTAGACCCAAGTTAAGCTAGCTAAAGCTTGTGTTATGGGTACTAGATAACTGATACAAATACATAGATTTTTTTACATAATGTACATAGAAAACACCCAGACCGATACAAACAATCATACTCATAAATACAAATGTTTGTGCTGTGCGAGGAATCGAACCCGCGACTATCGGACGTAAAGCGGTAATATCAACGTTTCACATTAATCAGATTTTCTTCATACTTACGAATTTGTAGTAGAATTACACGTAACTGAAAAACTCGATTATCAACTAAATATGGATATATATATATAAAAATAAAAAATGGGATACTTCTTTAAATGAGCTAAAGAGAGCTCATTTAAAGAAGTATCCCATTTTTTTAGACAATATAAAAATCGAACTTCAATTTAGCTTGTGGCAACACTATTTAACGGAGGGATTGTTTGTAACGAGGATTATAGTTTAAAGATTTTAACTAATCTTTTAGATTAGAATAGAATAGAATAGAAAATAATTTATTCAAATAAGCTTACATTGTAGCACTTTTGAATAGTCATTACATTTTTTTAATCTACTGCTCATTCGGAAAGCTGTCTCATCAGACAGCAACGAGCAATTCAAAGAAGAACGAGCAAGAAACCTGCGTGTTGTTCTTTTAAATAATTTTATTATTACTTTACATTTTTAAGTTTAAGCGTGTGAATACAAAGCACCAATTAGCACTAATTCAATTAGAAATTATTAAAAAGAGATTTTACGTAAATATTCACGCGTTCTATTCGGCTTACTTTATTATTACAGTAAGTATAAATGTATTTTTTCTTTATACTTAAAATTCATTAAAATTCTAATGAATTGCATACTTTTTTAATTTTTTATACTGTCTTAGATTCATACGAAGGAGCTAGAGACAGGTTCTGTTTTTGGTGAAGATATTTTTTTTCTAAAACAAACTTGTTTCAATAAAATCTGATTAGTGTAAAACATTCATATTAATTACCTTATTTTAAAGACAAAGTTTCATCGAGTTTAATTAATTATTGTAGTATTAGAGAGGGAATGGGGACATACAGCTATAACCATCTCTGAGATTAATTTGAACTGCAGTGAGGTCAATATTTGTAAATTTTAATGATATTAATTAAAGAAAATAGTGGTCCCTTTTTTGTCAGGATTTTTTAAAAATTAATATCTTTAATTTATACAAATGTTGACTTCAATGAATCTTTTAATCATGTCTCCGAGACTACAGAGAAATATATAAAAGTGATTGAATGACAAAGTACTTTTACAATATAATATAATAATATTGATATTGCATTCTATAATCTAGAATGTTCTATCTTCTTTTTTATTATATTTTGGCGGTTCTGCATAGATATAAGACAGAGATTCTTAATTGCACAGAGCACCTCTTATCCATAGACTATAACCCCGACCATAGACAAAAACATAAACCGCGAATACATAGTAAACACCCTTATTATAGAAGATTGTATCAGGATGAATAAACCACAGATCCACAGCTTTATTACTAGGGATGTGCAATTTACCACATTCCTTTACACATCAAACAGAAAGATTGCAGTCTTGTTATTTTTTACCTCTGGTCACCTCTGCAGAATGATATGATGGGTTTAGAATAGAGTATAATAATAATAATTGTATTTATTTCTCCTCACAAACATTGTACAATAACACATTTGGAACAAATACGTGTCGTCGGTTAAATAGAAAAATGGCAGTATTCAAAATGTATTTTTTTTTATAACCCCAAGCATTTAAAGTTTTCAAATTTATTTAAATTTTTTTTTCTTTAAAGTTTTAAATTTACACAGATGTATTATATATCATTTTAAAAGTATTTAGATAATGATTAAGACGGCGTGGTTAATTTAATTTACTTATATAAAAGGAGACAATTCTAGATTCTAATGTTGAAAAATGTCATTTTTCTATTTAATCGACTATGTAGATTTTAGATAATGTATTGCATAAATTTACTATTACAATTAGTTATTGTGAGAAGCTGGTGTCTAAAAGACGGCCGATCCGGCTTTGGTGCCAGGAGGGGGTCACATAGTCGTGGTCAAGTCAAGAACTTATAATTTAATTTTGATAACAATAGATACAAGTAAAAAAGTATCACCTGTACTACAGATCACCAGGCCTCCTAACGAAAGCATCTGTGATATACTTTAAATAAATTACAATGCTTATATTAAACTGTTCCGGAACTCTTTAGAATTATTAGAAATATTTACTTTTTTATATTTTTAACATGTATTTGAAAATGAATTTCTTCTTATTCTTGTCCTTGTAACATAAAAGAATATATAATCATAATTACATAGTATAAAACAAAGTCGCTGTCGCTGTCTGTCCGTCCCTATGTATGCTTAAATCTTTAAAACTACGCAACGTTATTTGAAGCGATTTTTTTAATAGGTGGAGTGATTCAGAGGAAGGTTTATATGTATAATACATACACCCGTGTGAAGCCGGGGTGGGTAGTCAGTTTTCTAATATAATATAGTTTGTTTCGCCATCTTCTACCCAATTCTTTACACTAAACCAAATAAATTATAATCATAATATTAGATAATCATAAGACTAGAATAACATTACCGACCAGTTTTATAACAAAATGTTTTTATGCTCCTTTAAAAATAATAATTTCATTCACAGATCCACTTCCCTCTATGGTTGAACGCTGACATACTCCCTGGTCCAGTGGACGCTACCACGAAGCCTGTGGATCCCGCAAAGTTCCTATCTCTGGGGGCAAAGCACCCTCGCTCGGTGCTTTCTGTCGGCTGGACAACCAACTACGGGGGCAACATCACCGAGGGTGAATACAACAGGGACCAAATCGGGGCCATGCTGCGGCAGCTCCATGAAAACCACATAAATCAAACTGTAACCTTCCCTGTAAGTTTTTTTATTAATTAATTTCGGCTTCGGGGTCTAGCGGTTTAGCCTATCGTTTTACTTCCGATGGTCGCGAGTTCGATTCTTCGCACTGTGCAAAATTTTTTTTAATGGATTATAATGGAATGGTAATATATATTGGGAAGTTTCAGAAATGATATGTCGATGCAGCAGTACTTTTATCACGTCTGGTCGTCTGGGTCGCCTCGAACAAAGAGAGAGCAGCTCCCCCTCTCTTTGTTCCCGGCCTCTTTATCTCTATTACTATTGGTGGTGGCATAATCGATGGCATCTTGGTGACAAATTAGTCAACTGAGTGTTCTTTATGTGTTGAAGCTAACAAATAACAGGTTTTTTTTTGGATGATAATGGAATGGTGCACCCGCCTGCGCTAACGGTTTACGCTGACGGGGCATCAGTCGAGCATGATAAGATGAGCATGAGGTCAGGTCAGTTAGCCCAGTTTCCAGGGAGAACCGCGTGGAGGTCAACCTGATATGGTACATTGATAGTAATGGGGTCATTAGTCCACATCACTAACAATTGCATTCCCCCTTATCTTTTATGGTTGATAATGGAATGGTGCACCCGCCTGCGCTAATGGTTTCCACTAGCGGTGCACCAGTAGAGGATGATAAGATGAACATGAGGTCAGATCATGGATCACGATGGGCTGACCTGACCTCATGCTCAGCTCAGGTCAGCCCATCGTGGCAAACTCATCAGGAGTTTATCATTCCTATTTTTTTTACCGCTGATTCGGAAAGATGTCTCATCATAAGAAGAACGAGCAAGGAACTTCAGTGTTGTTCTTTTAAATAATTATTTGCATTTTTAAATTAAAATGTGTTAATAAAAAAAAGAACTACCAAACTAATTCATTAGAGTGAAAATATTAAATACAGAACCTGAATCAGAATGGTTGAGTAACTGAATAGGAGTAAATCAGTCGTAGTGATTCAAACAGATTCAGACCAGTCATATAAGGTCTCGTTCACGAATATGACGCGGCGGATTAACTATTTTTAAATCCGAATATGACGGATTAACTTTTTTTTAAAACCGTCACAATCCTGAACAAGTGCTACTGGTCTGTTCAGGTTACGAACACTGACCTTGACCTTGCTTTTGCAATAGCATATGCTAGTGGTCACTCTATTCTCCCAAATTTGAATTTAAAATGAACCAGTATTATTGTAAACATGTACAACATTTATTTGAAAAGAATACGAGCTGAGTTTCTTGTTAGTTCTTCTCATTTCGAATAAGATAAGAGTCTGTAATAGACCTACATGAATAAAGATATTTTGAATTTGAATTTATACAACATCATATTTTTAGGTCCGCGCAGGATTAGCATCGAACAGCCAGCCAGTCGTGCTGGACCTTCTCCGTGAGACGGCGTACCTCAACTCCTCAATAACAGTCTGGTCCAGCGAGGGTGATGTGGTCGAAGTGGACCGGCTGAAGGCCCTGCTCCTGACTGTTGGCCTTGAAAGAACATATCTAGACGTACCACAAGATCTAGCCTCCAAGCTGCACCTTCCACCAGCTGCTAATGCCAAAAATTGAATAGATTAGTATGTATTATAGTCGAGTTTTATTTATCGAGCCCAAAGCTTTGTTTTTTTTAAATGGATGATAAGGGATTGGTGCACCCGCCTACGCTAACGGTATACGCTGGTGGGGCACCAGTGGAGGATAAGATGAGAAAGAGATCAGGTCAGTTATCCCATCGGGAAAGTATTTCATATATTTTGGTTTCCGGGGCTAACCGTGTGGAGGTCGACCCGACATGGTACATTGCCAGCAATGGGGTTCTAGTCTCCATTAGGTATTATGTTATCTGTACCATTACTAAGCCCCTTTCCCCCGTAACTACATTGATGTTAGTAACTGTAGAGTTACTCTTTAATGTTGACCAATTTCCACAGATCTATTGGACTAGTATGTCGCTTTTATTGCAGTGGTTATGAGTTCGATTCCCGTACTGTACAAACATTTGTATTTATAAGTATGATTGTTCATATCGATTTGGGTGTTTTGTATGTACCTATTGTGCATGTATTTACAAAAAATATATATGTATCTATATCTATCAGTTATCTATTAATTACCCATAACATATATTTACCTTGGGCCTAGATCTGTGAATTGTTCAAATACATTATTATTATTATTATATTACACTTTGCGTTGGTATTGCGTTAGTTTTTTTTCGAATTACTCTAATGCTGTTGGCCGCAGCTGGCCTTTACAGCTTCTCCAGACGATAGGCGGCGAGTGCAGATGGTACTCCAAAGACGCGGAAGGAATTATGGAGCGCCTGAAGGCCAACTCCCGCCTGACGGATACGACTTTAGTCTGAGGGCACCGCTAGGGATTCGAACCTCGGCTCAGGCGTCGTAATTTCGATCCCCGTTTGTATTGGACGGGGGTTACTTTAGTATAAGCTATTCTAAACCCTACAAATCGGGCCGATCGATCCGATAAGAAATCGAGACGTGCATACGCGTTATAAATCCCCAGCCAACAATCGCAGAAATACCTCAGTACAAGCACATTCCTGCCACGCCAACTTTCAAGGGAATAACTACCCTCCTACATTACAATAAGGTTGTTAATTGTTGCAAATATTTACGCATGTAGGGTGTCGACCTCTGAACATGTGGCAACCACGTGACTAGCAACCATACATTGCCATTCGTCAGTAGGTGCCGTTTAGACAGCGGGGATCCACAGTTTGTTTATTCTAATTTTAAAATTAGTAGCTGTATGATTTTTTTTTAATTGTTAGATACGTTTTATGGCTCTGGAATAACATGCTATACTGGATAATGCCGAACTATCTATTGTGGTATGGGGTCATAATTTGTTAGTATTATTCTTATTAGAAATAGAATAACATCTATATTTATGCAATTATGGACTATTGCATAGTAACTGCAACTTCTAAATGGTACATCTAATGTTATATAAATAATTAAAATTGAAGTATCTGTATGTAATATCAAATTACCAGTAGGTAAATGCATATGAAAGTGTAATGTCTGTGTGTTTGGGACTTTCTCTGGCAGATAGCTAATGTTATAAGGACTAATTTAGGCTGTATTTATTTATTTATTAGAATAATAAAAAGCTCTATTACCTATATGTGGATAAAGTATTAGTGGCAACATTAATGCTAAATAAAAATAATACTAAATATTATTACTCATTGACTTTTTTGCTGACAACATAAAGGACCAGCTGAATTCGATAGTAGGTTTCAAATTAGTATAACAAAATTGCATAAATTTGCAAAATGTAAATACACATATGCATACATTATGTAAATAAACTGGCAACAAAAAAAAATGGGGGGTCTTGCCAGTTCTTGACAATTGAATCTGTATACTGAACTGGACGGTAGGGAAATAATATTAATACAAAAAATTTACGTTTATAAGCGGCTAAAATGTCCTATATATAATTGCTAAAATGGCTAATAATACTCTAGACACATAGGGGCGATTTTATTCGAAATATTTTCCTTTGTTAGCCACACCAGCCTCCCTCCAACCTCTCGGGCAATTTTTGAAATCCGCAGCGGAAGAATTCTTCACCTTTTGACCCGAACCAATTTTCGAACCATTTTGACACTTCTTGAAAATTGACGAAGCGGTGCTCAGACAATGCGTGGCCCATTGATGCTATATTAAATGGCTAAAATGACATGTAAATAAGACTTTTTTATTAAAAAAAAGAAATCCTAATAACTAATTTCATTTTGAGTTTGACACTGAACATCAACTCATTGACATTTGTTATTAAAAAAAAGGTATTTATATATATTTGTTTATTTATATATTTAAAACTAAAAAATAACTGTAACTATAATAATAAATTGATACAAGTTATGTTGTCATATAACCTAAGTATGCATATTAAAATTTGCATTCTTATATTATACTAGCTGTACACGCGACTTCGTCCGCGTGGAATATAACTTTATTTTTCTGAAATAAAAGTAGTCTAAGTTACTCCTTATTACATCAGCTACCTACCAAAAAAAATTCGGTCCAGCCAATTCAGAGATTAGCCGGACAAACAGACAGACAGACAGCCAGACAAAAATTGAAAAAAAAGTTTTTTTGGTGTATGTACCGTATTTATATTTTTATTTATATGTATAGATGTATAGATAAATAAATAAATATATACACAATATACAGAAATAAGGGGTAAAATAATAAAAGGGGTAATAATATAAAAGACAAAAATTAGAATCGTGTGCCGCGCCATTTTTAAAAGTTAACGAACATTTTTAAAATTCGAACTATGTAATGGAGCAAAGTTATAATATGAAATCACATTATACAGATATCTGTATAGTCTGTGATTTCATATTATATAAACTGTGTTTATACAAACCACCGGAGTCAAAAGAAAAAAAAGTGTGCGCGCCATTCCAAAGTTTTTTTTAATCTAGTGCCATGTCATAGAACAAAAATATTATAATATATATTCCTTTAAACACATGTCCCCACTCATAGTTACATTCCACAATTATATCTGTTACCCTAAGGTTGTCTTGAAAAAAATGCTTTTGTCAATAAAGCCTCATTATATTTATTTAATATTTTCTATTACTCTATAATTTAAATTATTATAAATCTTCTATCTATCTTTCTAAATATACAATGAGACGACTAGACAAACATGATGCAATAATCGTAAGTTCTATTTTTGTCTACGGAATACAAGTCTATCGTAATTTGTGCTCTATGGTAATATTTTTTTTTCTACTCGTCAAATGAACGTTTGTATATGTGATACGAGGCCAAAAACATCACGGCTGGCCTATATTTTAACATTTTTGACATCAATCTAAGAGAATCAGGTGTATCTGTGGAAACGGGACAGTTGTGTCTCGAGTTACTGATGATGTAATGGGGTCTGGATCTCGAACTATGCGGTTAGATTGTGAATTTGTTATTACTCGTAATATGCCTAAAGTAACTTCACAAGGAAAGATACAGATTATGAAAACCCCTTCTATGGACAGGACTAAAATAATTTTGAACAGGAAAGCAATAATTAGATCATAATAATCCTTGCTGATATTATAAATGAAAAAGTAACTCTGTCTGTCTCGCTTTCACGCCAAAACTACTGAATCTAATTAAATTAAATTTGGTACACTGATAGTCTAGAACCTGAGAAAGGACATAGGCTACTTTTTAATCCGAAAAAGGGTTGTAATGGGTTGAAAGGGGAGACGAAAGGTTACATATAAGTATCGACAATTTACGCGGACGAAGTCGCGGGCACTTCTATTGTAGTCCTTATTAATATTATAAATGCGAAAGTAACTCTGTCTGTCTGTCTGTTTCATTTTCACGCTAAAACTACTAAACCGATTTAAATGAAAATAGGTACACATATATTATAAACTCTGAGAAAGAAAGAAGAAAGAAAGAAAAATATTTTATTCAGTGCAATGTAAAAAATACAATATAAACAACAAACGGAAAAAAAAGAGCAAATAAAATGTACATATAATTAAACTTAATTTACCATAATTAAAAAAATAAACATAAAATAAACATTTTTTACATCCAATAATGCACTGAAATCAGCTTTAATGTATGTCCTAGGTGAACATACAGCTGGTTTTCAGAAAGGATATAGGCTACTTTATAATGCGAAATAAGGGTTGCAAGGGGTTCAAAGGGGGGATGAAATCATCATTTTTGAAGCTAGAACGATGAAACTTTCACATTATGGTTTAGATTATTTAATATTTTTTTTATTTGATCAAGGTCACTATAATACCCGGACGAAGTCGCGAAAGTTTGTGAATACGAGTTATTGGTCTACAAAGATTGACCTTTGAAGAGTTCTAAACAGATTTAACACAAATAGAATCTATGTTGAATTCTCGACCTCTATCGCCTATTAGCTGTGACGCTAATGATCTGTCGGTTTTGACACCATGTCACATGTTTGTTACTCTTTTACTTAAAAACTACTTAACGAATTTTGATGAAACTTTACAGTAATATAGCTTATACGTCAGAACAACACATAGGCTGTAATCTAAAAATGTATTAAGTAAATTGAGAGAATTTTAATGATTTATCATCAAGTGGTATTGGTAAGGCTAATAAGATACCTAATATTGGCTAGGCTTAACCTTGTGACCTGTTTCTGACTAAACATTCATACCGAGAACCGCAAATAATATAAAAAAACTCGATGAACACAGCACACAACTAATTATAAGTGCAATGAAATTGCATTCTAAGAATGCAACATTGTTGGACATTGTTAATTCTGTAATACTCAGAAATATTAACTAAAACAAAGCTGTTTTTGTACAACGCTTGGTTTCTTATGTAATTGTGTGTTTGAGCGGAGAAAATGTATTAATAATGTATTTGTGAAAACAATGCTACTAGAAACAACTTACTAATATTATAAATGCGAAAGTAACGAACGCCGAAAACTACAGAACTGATTTAAATGTAATTTGGTGCACAGATAGTCTAGACTCTGAGAAAGGACATAGGGTACTTTTTAATGCGAAAATA